TTAGAGGTGCACCGAAATGGAAATTTGAAAACCGAAACAAAACCGAAATAAAAAATTTGTCAGGCCGAAACCGAAAATGTTTTTTATTTTAATTTTTAAAAGGGGCTTTGGGGAAATATTAGGGGTCTAAATATTTTCCTGATATTTCCCTTTTAAAAGTCATCAATCTCTTTTTCTGTATCCCCTGTTATCAATGAACAGGAATCCTCTGAGTGTTCCTCTTCATTCATAACTTGAGAACATAGTGTGTTTACTATAACCACAATCATGAATGAACAGGAGGTGATGTAGATCACTTCCCATTCATTCATAATTGAAGATGTAGTAAACATACCATGTCCTCAATTATCTACAAACACTGCGATCACTGAGTGTTTGTACCCGCTCTCCTTCCCAACAGCTGTCACAGGAGGCTGAGCGAGCGGTGCGGGAGGATCCGACGTGACAGCGCTCCCTCCTCCCCCCCAACCCCCGCTGTAGAGCTTTCTCACACAGGGCGCCTAAAGGCCCAAAGCCGGCCCTGTCTCCGCCCGCCCACCACTTGGCCGATCTGCGACAGGAGGCTGAGCAGTGTGGGAGGAGACATGCAGCGCACATCCACCTGTGACAGTTTCTCTCCTCCAAGCTGGGAAACAGAGCAGCGCCCAGGGGAAGGAGAGAACAGGATGCACCACTGTATCGGCCAGAAAATTGCACTTTCGGCATTATGCCAAAAGTGCCATTGTCGGCCGATATATCGGTGCATCCCTACTTATTTGTGTATCACTCAGCTGTAGATCCTCAAATCATCTCTGAATTGGTGCTGACACTGTCCTTCCTTCTGTTGGGTGCTACTTTTGTTCCCCATGGTCACCGTGTGTGTTGTAAAGTAGCCACTGCTGCAAGCTCGCTCCTGTGATGGACTGCAATCTCACTACAAATTAGCTAATCAGACATGAGATTGTAGTCCATCACGGAAGCGAGCTTGGATAATAGTTAAGTGAATGCATTTTTAAGATTGAACTCTTGAATTTAGTGTCAATTTAGACCCCATTCACACTGAGCGACATGGAAATCGCGCTACTTTGAGCGACATTGAGCGACGAGCGACGTTGAGCGACGTTGAGCGCGACATCGCGCGACTTCTTCCTATTGGGCTGTATGCAATCAGGAGCAATATCGCTCAAAATCGCTCTAAAAAAGGGTCATGTAGAAGCGACAAGCTACCAGCGACGAGCTACAAGCGATATTGAGCGATATTGAGCGACATTGAGCGACGAGATGTGAACAGCTACATTGAAATGTATTGGTGAAGCTACATAGAGCGATATAGTGCGGAAATATGAGCGATATCGCTACAAAAATCGCGCGATAAATCGCTCAATGTGAACGGGGCCTTAATGACAGCCGGTATCATTCAACCTACTTCTGGTCAGCCCAGGGTGTCAGGGCTCAGCCCCCACCCTGGACTCACAGAAGGGAATGCTGCAGACAGCCTAGGTGGGCGCCACTCTCTGCAGCAGTTAGGTTCCGGCCACCCCTAGAGAAAGATGAGGGTGAAGAAGACCTGTGACACTGCCAGACCAGATAAAAGATATGTAAAGAGATTTAATAAACACTACAATGCTGGGGGACGGGAGGTACCCCATAAGAGGGAGGAAGTCTGACAAGCAGGTTTTTACTCGCGTTAAGGTGCTCTGCATTTCAGCATTGCAATGCACGACAATCGCACTATAGAAGGGCTGTGCATGTTTTTTTGTTTTTAAATACACCATTTTGACACACTAGAATGCATGTTCTTTGTCAAGCACATTTGCCGCACATCTGTATTAAAACAAAAGACATTTTCCACAAGCTGCTGGAGCGTGCAATTTTGCGCTCGTTCCCCCAACGCACAGGTAAACCAGAGCTAAGGCTCAATCTGCATAGGGAACACAGCAGGATATGGGTCCTTGTTTTTAAAAAGGGAACTGTTACTTTCAGGTTAAAATGAAAAGTGTCATCCTTCTGTTACAGCTTAGTGACATTTGTTTTCATTTCCTTTATCACTATGACGTCTGTATTTTACATGTAAAGAAGTGTTTAAGTCCTCTTTAATACGTCAATACAAATGTAAAACAAAGCTCTCCATCCCGCTGTGAGCTTTGGAAATGCAGTGTTTCTCATCTTTCCCTACCGTGTGTAGCCTAGCACCGCCGTGCTGACGACACACGCAACCCATCTCAAAACTACGAGCGCCAAGCTCCAGCGACGGACGTGACGCTTTAAGACGTACGGCGTGTCCCACCCAATTACCAGAGATTGACAGCTCAACCACCCAATGACCACCCTGGAAACGCTCCTCCCGGCCTATCGCCGTATAGGGTGTATACCTTCCTGCAAAAATTGCAAGATGGCGCTGAGAATCTCCGTATGAGGACACGATCCCTCCAGAATTTGCCATGAAAGGAAAGGATCGCTCCCCGGTTAAGGCCAAGCGGTCCCGGGGGGCGGAGGAGTCCTCTCGCGAACGATGCGGCAAGAAGCTAAGCTCGACCAGTTGCGACAGCGGCACTGCAGCCAAGAGCTCGGAGAGCAGCAGCAGCGGGCGGCGTGGCCTACACCTCGACAAGGGGCTCTCCGGCAATCGGGATTATGAGGCCTCGGCAAGAGCCCCCGGGATGCACACTTATGGGTCGCCTGTCGCCAGCAGCGGGAGCGGCGGCAGCAGCAAGGGCGCTGACGGCAGAGCAGGCGCTGTCCCTCGGAGCTCGGAGGGCCGCGGGGAGGCCGAGTACAAATCGCTGCGGATCAGTGAGCTGGGCTCGTCGCTGAGTGATGAGGCCGTGGAGGATGGGCTATTTCACGAGTTCAAGAAATTCGGGGACGTCAGCGTGAAAATCTCCCGCTCCGGAGACGAGCGGGTAGCCCTGGTGAACTTCCGGCGCCCTGAAGACGCTCGTGCGGCCAAGCACGCCCGGGGGAGGCTCGTTCTGTATGACCGGCCGTTAAAGATCGAGGCGGTGTACACTACAGGCAGCAGACGGCGGAGCCGATCACCCGGGGACAAGGAACCGTATAGCAGCTTGTCGGCTGGAGTGTCCTCCTTGGCCTCTCATCGGCACCCACATGGCCAGCGGGGCCTCTCCCCTGGAGGGCTTGGCTACAGGGACTACAGGCTGCAGCAGCTTGCTCTGGGCCGCTTACCCCCACCCCCTCCCCCACCGCTCCCCAGGGACCTGGACAGGGATAGAGACTACAATTTCTATGAGAGCCGGATACGGCCCGCTTACCCGCTAGACCCCCGTCTGAACATCCGAGAGGATGACAGTTCTGAGAATGACATAAGAGCCAACAGAACTCTCTTCCTGGGCAACTTGGACATCAATGTCACGGAGAGCGAGCTCCGCAGGGCTTTCGAGAGGTTTGGGACAATTACTGAAGTGGACATCAAACGTGCTACCAGGGGGCAATCCTCTACCTATGGATTTATTAAGTTTGAGAATTTGGACATGGCACAAAGAGCCAAACTGGCCATGTCTGGTAAACCTATCCTCCGCAACTGTATTAAAATTGGCTATGGCAAAGCTACCCCCACCAACCGCCTGTGGGTGGGCGGCCTTGGACACTGGGTGCCGATGGCATCCCTAGCACGTGAATTTGATAGATTTGGCACGATCAGGTCTATTGATTACCGCAAAGGAGACAGCTGGGCCTATATACAGTATGAGAGTTTAGATGCTGCCCAAGCCGCTTGTAGTCAAATGAGGGGTTTTCCCTTGGGGGGAGATCATAGGAGACTTCGGGTGGACTTTGCAGATACGGATCATGTTTATCAACCCCCTTACCTTCAACCCTTACCTTTACCCCATTATGACTTGGTGGGGGATGCTTTCGCCCCTAGGGCTCCGGATTCTCTTCGAGCCAGAGACCGTACGTCACCTTTATTGTACAGGGAAAGAGAAAGGGACTTGTATGGAGATTCAGACTGGGTGCCACTTCCCATTAGAGACAGAAATAGAGTACCTTACGGTTCTTTGGAAGCCTTAGACCGGAGAGTGGATGGCTGGTCTTTGGACAGAGAACGTGAAAGAGACGGAGTGAACAAAGAGCAGCCTAGGAAACGGAGACTAATTGACGAAGCTCGTCATGTGGACAGATCACCTGAAAGCGAACGTGCCAGGAAAAGACACTGTGCCAGTCCTGACCGAAGTCCTAATGGCAGTGGTGGTCGGGATGGCCGTTACAATGATACAGATCGTGCAAACAGCAGGACAGAGCAGCCCTCGCCTTCCAGGGATTGGCGAGGTAGCCTCGAGCGGGGAGTGGAAAGCAAGCATGATCGCAAAAACTCCAACTCTGTCGAAAGAGATCGGAAACATCGCATTGGTGACAATAAAAGTCCATTAAGAAAAGACGAGCGGCTTGAGTCCAGCAGTAAAGTGAAATCGCTGCAAAAGCAAGATGCAAACCAAAATCTCTGCTTGGCTTGGCAAGGGATGCTCCTGCTGAAAAACAGTAATTTTCCATCCAATATGCATCTACTTCAGGGCGATCTGGCGGTAGCAACTAGCCTGTTAATTGAGGGACCTACAGGCGGAAAGGTTGTCCAGTTAAAAATTACGCAAAGATTACGTCTCGATCAGCCCAAACTGGATGAAGTGACACGTCGCATCAAAGTAGCCGGACCCAATGGATATGCCGTTCTACTTGCTGTTCCTGGTACAACTGAGAGTAATTTTACCGGTGATCAAGCAAGTTCTACTCAACGTCCTTTGAGAAACCTGGTCTCTTACTTAAAGCAAAAGCAAGCTGCAGGGGTCATTAGCCTTCCTGTGGGAGGCACAAAAGATAAGGAAAACACAGGAGTCCTTCATGCTTTCCCTCCCTGTGAATTTTCCCAGCAGTTCCTGGATTCCACAGCTAAAGCCCTTGCCAAATCCGAAGATGACTACCTTGTTATGATAATAGTGCGCGGGGCATCCTAATTCAATGTTTGTATTCACCATACTCTGTTCTCTTTGTATTATGGGATACAGTACAACCTTTTTTTGTTATGGTATTGCTAATCCATTTTATGTGACGTGATATTGTGCCATGCCTAGCTGAAGTTTTGAAAACGTACTAACCTGTATTGTAGTACATTTTTTGTTTCCTTTTTTTTTAAGCAATTTTCTTAAGCAATTGTTCTGCCATAACAAAATGGTTTTCTGAATGCTTAAAAGTCATCTAGACATACTAGCTGTTGGCCTCTAAAGGTCTGATCATTTCCAATTTTTTTCCACCCCAAAATTTGCAACTTACCTTTCCAATCTGCTAAAAGTAAACGTACAGTTAAACTATGAACGGGCGATATGTTTTGTTTTATCTCCTAATAAGCTAGTTTACAGTGTAATGATCATATGACTTCAGAGTATCTACAGCCTAAATGTTTTTTTTTTTTTTTTTTTAATCTGTGTCCCATTCAAAAGATTTTTATCCATTTCCTGTCGTGAATGCACAGCAGGAAGTGAATCTCAGTAAATCTCCCTTTTGTGGCTTTTTTTTACTTTGCAGGGGAAGTTTCTCTTTAGCATGGTAAACGTGTTGAAACTGCAAAGAATAACCAATCATGTGCAAGGAAAATAAAAACAAAATATGTGAAGGGAATTTATCAAAACTGGAGCAGCTGTGCATGGCCACCAATCAGCTTCTCCTTTTTATTTTCAAATCTTAACTGAGAAAACAGAGGCAAGAAGCTGATTGGTTGCCATGTGCTGCTGCTCCAGATTTTGTCTGCTCCAGTTTTGATAAACTACCCCAAGTATGTTTGCATGCACATGGGTGGGTGTTTAGAAGCCAGCAGAGCTTCACCTCATTGACTAAACTAAGGGGAAACCTCCCCTGCAAAGTGAACAGCCTATTTGCCTTTAGTAAATCAACCCCCTCTGACTTCATTTATGCAAAGTGATAGACCCTAATGGTCTCGTGTCTCTTAATATTACAAACTCTTTGGCAGGGAACATTTTTCATCTTAATCAGGCAGCAATTAGGGTGACAGCGGGCCTTATTTTACAAAAAATGTCTCAATTGCCCATAGTTGCCTATCACATCTCATTTTTCAAACCTGCTCTAGAAAAATGTCGGGGAATTAAAAGCTATGCATCTGACGTTTCTTTTGCATAGTTTTTATGAACAAGGCCCAGTTCCAGTGTACTTAAAGTGAACCTACAATCCGATTTTTAAACTAAAAGGCCTGACAGTCACCACCAGATTTCAGCTATTATGTTTAGTAGCCAGAAAAGCGTTCTCTGGGCCTCTCTGAAACTGGCCTCGCTTGGTTTTTAGGGGTTTAACATCATACCTTGCTCGGCCATCTGCACCCTTTTGGCTAATTAGGGTGCCTCAGGGCATCTTTGCTGGACTGAATTGCAGTTGGTCAGTCTTTTAAATGTTTAAATGACTGACAGGATGTGTGTGTGTGTGTGTGTGTGTGTGTGTGTGTGTGTGTGTGTGTGTGTGTGTGTGTATGTATATATCATTTTTAAAAACAAAATTTTTGTAGCCAAATCCTGGCTGATTTATAATAGTTCTTTAGTTGTGAAAGTTTCCTGTATAGTCCGATAAGCTGGTATGACCAAGTAATAATTCTCAAGCTTCAGTTTTGCTTTTATCTATTCATAAGGGCTTGTTCACACCAAATGCAGACCAGATCTGCATGAGTTTCTGCACATGCAGTGGGTTGTGCCGTGTTTTTGATGCGTTCCGGGCTGTTTTTAGTTTAAAATGGGCTTTCAGTGTGTGCTAGGTCATTTGCATGCGTTCCAGCGCAGGTAAAATAGGGCTTGCTAAAGTTTGTTTACATGCTCTGGAACTGAACGCTGCGGTGTGAACTAGAGCCCAAAATACCATTGTAATACATTGAACGCAGTTTTGATCCGTTCTGTAACTGCTCTGCTCCTGGAATGACTGGAAATGTAGCAGTGTTGCTCACAGTAGCCTGTCACATTCCTTTTTCTGAAGGTTACAAAGTGAAGGCTAAAACATGGTTTCTTTCTTTCTCTCCAATTTGCAGAAAACAGTCCAATAAACAGCTGTTGGAGTGAATGTATCCATTTTAAATGATGCAATACTGTATAGAAGCTTGTTCATTCATATGTAGACAAGTGTCTCAGATCTTCAAGCTATTCCGACTGTCATTTCCTTGATTGTGGATAGGGCAGACCAGGATATTGCTGTCAATAATTAAATTCATATCCATTCCAGCTGTTGATACGTTTTGGTGTTGCTGAGAATATTGTTCACTTTACCTGCCAGCAGTTTTTGTAATCCCATTGCAGTAGATGATGTGATCCTGTTCCAGTGCTATTTTTGTGTAACTTTCCAGAGCCAGGAATCCTAACCTGTGGCCCAGATATCATGCACATTGAGATTGATATAACTGAAATTGTGATTAATATAAGCTATGGCAGGTGAGATTGCTATAGGTTAGTGTGTGCAGTCACACTTTGATGTCCCGTTTACACCCAAGAGTAACGTTACTAGCACACTATTGCACAATGCAGCTACCATTTGTTCCCATGTGCTTTGGCCATTAGATCCCACTTAAATGGAACTCCAGTACACCTACGGGCTGCTGTGTGCTATAGCATACGGTTCCGCAATAGTGTTTGTTGGTGAAAATAAGTACATGCACTACTTTTTTTTTTTTTTAAATCCAATGTGTGGTGTTGAGGTACCACATGCTGCATTGCAGCCCACAGAGGCTGGGGTGCCATTCAAGTCAATTGTAACGCACGCTAGGGGCATTGTACAATAGCGTGTGTTAATCGCAGGGTATTGTGCGATTAACACTGTGCTTTGGTGTGAACGGTCCCTAAAAGTCTAGACACATAGTACTGATTTATGAAAAGCGGTACTGCTCTAGTTGGGTCCCAAGAAGTGCTTTGGCCGAAGGTAATTGTGCTTCTTGACTTTTCCAAATTTGCAGATCCAGAATATTTTGTAAGTGCATTACATTGAGCCATTAGAATGGGCAATATGTGGTCTCCAAGCTGATAGTCAACCTGTAGCTTCAGTTTCGTACTGCATACCTGTGTGCTTGGGATATTTACTACCCCTGCACATTTTTGTGCTCTAGCAGGAAAATGTTTTTAGATCTATAGGAGACTTCCAGCTTTTCAAATATCACTGTTACAAACAGAAGGTTTAAAGTAGTCCTCTTCTATGCACCCCCCCCCCCTTACATAGTAAAGTCACGGTCCAAGATGACCTTTTGTTAATGGCAAAATCCAGAGTCTGAGTACCTCTTGTCACTTGACATGAAGTACATAAATCTGCATTGTGATCATTAAAGGATGTAGCAGGGCCGTGTACAGGTTTTTTTTTTTCTCTATAGTGCCCTAATGCAGAGCTACTTATGTCAAACTTGTGTAGTACAGTTGGTTATTAGTTCCTGTAAATACTTTTAGTATTTGACTTCTCTGAAATATATAACTTTTACCTAATATTCTTTTTTCAGATGTTAAAATCTTTTAAGTGAATACGAGTTATCCAGTTCTCCCAAATTGAATCCTGTGCAGTGTGGCACATAAACAGTTAAACCTTTAATCAGCTGTGTCACATTCCTATGATAGTGCATGTTTTTTTTGTTTTTCCTTTTTAGTATTGTAACTTGCATTTAACATATAATTAGAAGCTAGTAGGAATCTGGAGTCATCTAGTTGTGTTCTAGAAATGCTGAAACAGAAATCTTACTCAGATGCTCATACAATGGCCATTTCCTACCTCTTACTTAGCTTGCACCCATTTAAACCTTGTATATTTATCTTGTGAGCTTTCACTTCAGAGCATGACAGCCATTGTATAAGTGCTGCAATTGTCCTGTATTTATCTTAGTTTGACTGTATCCCATAATAGAGTCCAGGTTTTGTAGATGTGCGTAGTAAATGTAGACCAATATTAAACGAAATTGTGCACATATACTATAACGTACAGATTTAGTGAATTTGCCTATGTCTGTTTTTAAACTCATTGCAGTTAGATTCCTACGATTTACAATTCAAAGCTGTATGTTAAACACATTCATGTAGTTAAATGTGTTTGAAAGTAATTTTAAGCCTTCTGTTTTGTGTTTTAATGGAAAGAATTCAAGCTGTCCTGCAGTCCAATAAAACTCGGCACTACCTCTTCATTTAAAGTGAATCTGTCAGCCATTTTAGACATTTCACAGTTAAACTTCTGCCAAAGAGTAGGCACCACAGGATGCATGCTGAAAACTGTAATTGTACAGCCATGGTTTCAGGAGTCCTGCTGAGGGGCATCTGCCTGTTAAAGAACTATGAGGTGAGTGACAATCACTCATCCTCATAGTTCGAGCCGACATGTGACAATAAAACTGTCACACGTCGGCTCAATAGATCGGAGAGTGAGCGGACACATACCGTCGCTCGCTCACTTCTCGAACCTGTCCCTGCATAGAGCCGTGACTGTCACTCACGACTCCCTGCAGGCACCCCCCTCCCACTACAATGCTCCAGCGCTGACTGGAGGAACAGACGGGGAGGGGGCGGGTACAGCTTGGCTCTGCCTGTAGATAGGCAGAGCCAGCTGTCAATCACGCAGCTGAGTGGATCCAGACAGCATTGTCAGGATCCGTCCCGGCTGCAGTGGTCTCAGTATACCGTGAGCTGTAACTCGCGATATACTGAGCTTTGTGTCAGAGGAGGAGGTTAGTATATGTCCTCCCGTGACCCTTAAGAGAACTATGGGGAAAAAACACTTACCCCATAGTTCTCTTTTAAGATGACCTTATTGGCCACTAAGGCACTCATGTTGGACAGGGAAATGTCAAGTTGGCCATTCTTAGATCTGTAGTAAAAGTAGCAATGCCCCTCCAATATGTGAAACTAGTAAGGGCCCTAATGAGAGGCATCCTGTGGTATCTGCTCTTAGGCAGGACTTAGATTATGTTTCTGATTTTTGCAGTCACATTTGAGAATCGAACCCCTATATGTTTGTGCTCCCATTTGCACAACATAACCTAAAAAAAATTAAATATATATTTCTTACCTACCTATTCTAGTTGAAAACTGGATTATACACAGGACTGCAAGCTATTTTGAACAATTTCAGAGCAAAGTCAGTTTCCCCTCATTAACATACAATACAGAATCCAAACCTCAATATCTTTAACTCTTTTTTATTAGGAGGACAAACCGTGTTCAAATCTAGTTTCCAGCTTCTAATGAGATCTGCCAGCACAGTACAAACAACTCCTCTGCACCCAAATTGATATTTCATAGTAGATGCGAGGTAGGATTTTTACACAAGTAAAAAGCACTTAGTCATTTTTTAAATATTTAATATATGCTATGTAAATTGGAAGCATGTAACATATATGAAGTCTGTGTTCTACCAATTTGACTGCAAAAGCGAAAATACTTAATAGTGCATCTAAACCCAAGAACAAAAAGGTTGTATATTGCAGCTTACCAGCCCTTAGAAGTAGTGACTACAGTCGTTTTCTTTTTTACCTGGTGATCCTGCAAGTAACAGACTTGTGTCCGAGTGACATTGTTCACTCCCTCTACTGCAGCTATGGAAAGGCAGCCTGTCACCCTGACATAGGGAAATGATAGAAGACTTTACTCTCTCCTCACCATGCACGGCTGATGACAACCCTTAAAGTGATTCAGGAGTGAAATCTTTAACATTCATTAAAATACCTCTAACAAAATGTATCTTATTTATCTTTCACTCGGCTGTAGATCCTCAAATCCTCTTTGAATTGGTGCTGACACTGTCCTTCCTTCTGGAGGGTGGCTACTTTTGCTCCCCATGGTCCCTGTGTGTGTTGTAAAGTAGCCACCGCTCCAAGCTCATTCCCGTGCTGAACTACAATCTCAGGTTTAGGTTACTGATTTGTATTCGGATTGTAATCCATCACAGGAGCGAATATGGAGCGGTGGCTACTTTACAACACACACACACACACAGACCATGGGGAACAAAAGTAGCAACCCTACAGAAGGAAGGACAGTGTCACCACCAATTCAGAGTGATACACAAATAAGCTACATTTTTTTGTTAATGGTTAAGGTACTTGAATGCACTTTTAAGATTGAACTCCTGAGTTTAGTGTCCCTTTAGGATAAAACTGTGGAGTGTATTGGAACCAGTGAAAATCACTGAATATCTTACAGGATCAACGGGTATTTTTGTACTTCAAAAACTGAAAAAACACTTTCAATTGTATATTTAATAGGCCAAGAGAGCGCAGATAAGAGAAGTTTATGGTTGTTTACAGAAACTTTAAAAGCTTTTAAGTTGAAAGCGATAGGCTTACTTTAAATTCAAGAATTCATCAGCCCTTGTTCACATTAGAACAGCTTAAAATCCTAACACCTTAGCATTTGTTGTATAAGGTGGATGTGTATCAGACTGATCAAAATTAAATTTTAAGGTATCTTTGTGGACAAATGGTGTTGTGTTTATGAAACGGGTGCTGAGCAATCAAGCCTTTTAAATGCTGATCTTGTACAATGTAGAGTTATTTTTTCCTCTTAGAGCTTGTTCACACCGCTGTGCATTGAAAACAAATGCATCTTCAAGCCTCGCCCTGCATTTTGCATGCAGCAATGGATGGAAAAGTGTTTTATGTAATGCATGCAATTTGCTTGTGTTTTGAGTGCATGGTGGGTGCACAAGCCCTAAAATAAGTGTTTTTTTTTTGTTTAAGCAGGAAGCTTCTTATTCTGCACCATATGCACCTTTTCTAAATGGTACTAATTAAGCAAATTTTTTCCTGACATTTTCTGTTCCTAATATGGTTTAGAATCCCATAATTCATGATGAATGGGCTGCTAATGCACTGCAGTTGACGACATTGCACAATGCAGTGCTCCACAATGAAACCGCTATGCTGGGTTAACATGTACTTCACGCACTCGAAGGGTTAAATACTTCCAATGGCTAGAAAATAGAATTGGCAGCTGTTCAACACGCAAACCACTGGAAAGGTAAGGATTTTTTTTTCTTTTGCAGAGTAAATATTCATACATCTCCAGTGTCCCTTGTGTGGGAAAGTTGTCACTTCTCTGCTTCCTGGCTGTTGGAGGTAATCAACCCTTTTGGTGGGTTGAATACCTGTTACTGTAGCTGCACCAAGGAGGAGGCCAGCAGGAGGAAGCACAGCATATGGTGGTGGAGCAGGTGTTCCTCAGAAGTGTGGAATACATGCAGCAGCCAGGAGCCCATGGGCTGCCTTGTGTTTAGAAGTCGCCCTGTGATGATGGGGTCACTTTTATGTGCTGCTATCGCTCAGGTAAGCACTCAGATGACTCATTTTTAGAATGGGCAGGTATCGTCCCATCTGACACCCCAAATCTTGTGTACAAATGGGAACATAAAAAAAAAAGCCAGGAGGGTCATGCTGTACTGGCCAATGAGGCTTGCAATACACGTTAAGAAGTCTTCATTGACAATACTGTTGATGGAGCGCAATATATAAGGCAATGCTGCCTACGGCTGGCCGTATTTACATGGCTTTTGTTTTTTTCCCCTCTGCTCGCGCATGCTACTGACGCTTGTGAACAGCCATTAGCGGCTGTTACATACAAGGGTTCGGGCGGCTCTATAGCCGTCTGATCGCTTGTACGGTGGCCAACAGGGTTTGTTCCCTCCACATTTACCTGCTATTCCGGGCTCTGCGGGCCTGGGACAGGCTCTGCATTTGGATCGGAGCAAGATCCGCTGATCTCTGAATGTGGTAGTTGTGTGTATTACACTTCCGCATTCAACTGTCATTTCTCTGGCTGCTATAACCAGAGAAGAAGCTGGTAAAGCAGATCTCTGCTTCATCAGCTTCATTGGGGGTCCCCAGGTGACAGGGGTCTTGGAGACCCCTGATGTCTCCATAAAGAGGACATGTCAATGTGCCTGTGCTATCACGTAGGGGGTTATTAGCCCCCTATGTGATAGCAATAACATTTACATGTAAAAAAAGTCCCCCGCCCCCACGTATATGCATGTACAAATAGACGTGTTGGGTGTGCGCCACACGAATGTTGCAGTGTGAGCAATAATTCTAGGGCCATCAATCATTGATAACACTAAACTGATGAGTGATAAAAGCTTTTAAATTGTTGCCTATGGGCTATTTTGGGTATTGTATTTATATTGCAATTTCACAGGGCATGCAATTTTAAGCCTTGACATGTTTGGTGTCTATTTACTAGCCATGACACATATATATATATATATATTACAAAAAAAATTGGTTAGCAATAAATGTTTCATCACATATTGTAGGGGAAACAGGTTTTTTTTTTCTAAAATTAAATTTTTTCCTTTTTAATATAGCAAAAGAAAGCTCTGTGTCCCCAAAACATTATATAAAATGAATTTCAGTACAGCGTTGTATGACAGAATAAATGTCAGTCAAAGTACCACAGCGCTGAAGACTGAAAAATGGCCTGGACAGGAAGGTCTTCAATTGGTTAAAGTGAAACTGTACTTGGGATAAATAAAGTATGAAGCGATGCTCTTGTTCCTTATGGTGCATGCTTTTTATTGAAACCATTTTATCTTTGAAATTGAAACCATTTTGGGTCGTATGGTGCAGAATATATGCATTTGTATGAAGTGTCTGAAGGAAAAATAGTCTTTAGCCATAACTGCTAATGTGTTTTTTCCCTTCTAAGTGCTTTCTGTGCAATATAGAAAAAAAAAAACTATCAGTTATCTAGAGCTAACTGTTCCCTCCAAACATTTTTATGCATAAAGCCTTTCAAAATGAATGTGATGTTTGCAACACTCCATGTTGATGTTTTGCTTGAGTAGTTGGTACTATTTTAACATGTAACCAATTTCCCCTCTGTACAGCTGGAAGCTGGGAAAGGAAGATTCTGATCTTCACAGAGCTGTTAACAGTGGAACTTTGGATGACAAGTTTCTGTTTAGGACTTGCACATTTTACTACTTGGCAGCCCAAATCAAAATATTCGTATTGTGTATCTGCTATTGTGATGCCAATTCCCGTGTTTTAAGTGAAAAACGTGATGACTACATTACTTTGTACTGTATTCACAAGATTTCTGGAAAGTGAGGCATTACCCTTTTCTGGCGCTCACAACGTAACATAATGGTCATTGAAACAGTGCACAGTTCAACTGATTTTGTTTTCATTCTCAATAAATTTCTTTTGAGGAAAATGTCTTTCTGCCTGGAAGTGAATTGCCGACAGCCATCAGCCCATTTTGGTTAAGGGTACATTGTTCCTGATCACTTGAATAGTAGAACAAATTGATGTTTCACACTCCACAGGAAGTAAACCGTTGACACGCGTATTTTAATAGTTTTTTTTTTTTCTTTTTTACATTTTGTGTTGTACGAGTGGAATAACCTAGTTCCGTTTCTATATCAGTTTTATTTTTGGTAAAAGGATCATATGGCTGCTCATGCTCCTTAGGAGGGATCCATGATTTTACTGCAAGACACAGAAAAAAAAAAAAATCTACTTGTTCGTTGTGCCCTGTTGCGGAAAATACAGTAAAATCGTTTGATTTGTTTGTGTCAACCAGAGTGATCACAATCCGTTTTCTTTTTAATTTCGAAGTTTAAGTCACATTTGCTTGCAGCAATCAAACCACAGCAATCCATCTCCATAGAAAATATATTTAAAAAAAATAAACAGATTGAAGAAGCATCCACTTCTGGGATTTGAGCACTCTTGTGTTAGAGGTGTTAGTCTTGCTGTGCGTCACCAATTTATAATTCTTCCTTCTAAGTGGTCACTTGGCCATTTGGGAAGGATTCTAACACACTGGATGTGCATTCATTCTTGTTTACTTTTAACATGAGGAACGGCAGTGTGTGCCTTACATTTCAGATTTAAGGTCAAGCATGAATTCTCTGGAACCTTCATCAAAAAACGAATTTTCTGCAGCCTTCTGTGCCAGGTTTTTCAATATTCTGTTACAAGAGCATAGCATGTGGCTGCAGGAAGCTATGGCATTTGGCATGCCATGAAGATTATTTGAAGTCTCAAGTCTCCTTGCTTCTGGTTTTTGCTCAGAATACCAGTGACAAAGGTGAAATCTCATGTGCTGACCACTCCCGGATGACGAGGATAGGTGCTGGCTGAGAATCCAATTGAACAGTCTGCTGCTAGGGACAGGTGAATATCGACAGGAGTGTTCCCAAGGAAATCTCTTGTACAAAGGTAAGGTAGTGACAAATCAAGCCATAAATAAATAAGTTGTATTGTATTTTGAAGGTCGTGTTCTTAGGTCGGTACCCTTTGGGTCCGGGTTCCATAATCCGTTTTTGCTAAATGTAATACTTTTTTTCTCAAAAAATAAATCAAAGGGTGTGCAGCCCCAAACAAATATTTGAAGGCATTAGAATCTTGGGGCCACAAAAAATTAAGACTAGTATCCATGTTCTAAATTACACAACCTAATTGTTAACCGCATTCTTTCCAACGACTTCTTTATGATAAAGCAGAACTTCAGACAGGTATAAAAACTTGAATTCCATCTTTTGTTATGAAATGTGTATTTAAAGTGTGAAATCTGTACAATCTCACAAACCTCTGAGGATAGGTTACTAGTACTGTGGGTCAGTTGGGAACTATTGTATTGCACAATGCTACCATTAAAGTCTCTTCAGGCATGAGGGTTGGGAGGTGTTTAGTAAAGTGAACAGGCATGGAACATGGAAGGTTAGATAGCTCATGCTATTTCTGAATTTCCAGGTCTGATTTTCATGTTAGTGTCTCACATATTGAAACCCATGGGGACAACTTGCATTTTAAGTTACAGCAAGCTGTTAATTTTTTAGAGGTGCACTGAAATTAACATTTCAAAACCAAAATTGTAAAAAGTCAGACCGAAACCAGAAATGTTTATTTTAACTTTTTCAAAGTTTTTATTAATTTTTTATTAACTTTTTAAATATTTTGTATCTTTTTTACTTTTAGGGGCTTCGGGGAAATATTAGGGGTCTAAACAGACCCCTGATATTTCCCTTTTTAAAATCGAAAGAGATTGAGGACACAGAGTCCTCAATCTCTTTTCTGTATCCCCTGTTATATATGAACAGGAATCATCTATACTAAGTGTTCCTGTTCATTCATAACATGAGGACAGAGTATGTTTACTATAACCACATTCATTCATAATTGAGGACACCGTAATCATACTATGTCCTCAATTGTTTACAAACAGTGATCACTGAGTCCTTGTTCTCCGCTCTCCATCCTGACAGCTGTCACAGAAGGATGAGCAAGCGGAGCTAAGCCTGCTGTGACAGCGCTGGCCGTCTCTGCCCACACACCGCTCTCCTGATCTGTGACGGGAAGCTGAGCGGTGCGGGAAGGAGAGATGCCGGCCGCTCACATCGCTCTCCTCCCGCAGCGCTCGGCCGCCTGTGACAGTTTCTTCCTCCCTGCTGGGACACAGAGCAGCGCCCAGCAGGGAGGAGAGGAAAAAAATGGATGGACCGCTGCACCGGCCAGAAAATTGCACTTTTGGCATTATGTTATGTTAAAGTGGAAGGAAATGCTGGGGAGCAATATACCAGTTTAATTATTGATCCCCCCTAATCTGTTCTTCCTGCAGACGTTTTCTTGGCATCTAATTTTTTATTATTTTAATGTGTTTGCCTGACTGCACAGCTTCTGCACTGTGAGCTTTGTCAGTACAACAACATCCTGGGACTATAGACGCTGGAGCTTTTTAGGTCACGTGACCGATTACCAAAAATGTGAAAAGTTTATTTAGATGCCGATTTTAGAGAGAAAAAAAAAAAAACACCTATAGGGAGTATTACAGCAAAGGGGTATTAACATTTGAAGGAGAATTCATATGTTAACCTTTGCAGTGCCCCTGCACTCAAAGGGTTAACTGCTCATTTGTGTCTAGGGAAGGAAATACAAAAACTCACCTTATGCTCAGCCGACTTGCTGTTAGACTGCTCCTTTCAGGTCTCTACTCCACCGCTGCAACTGTCTAATGATCCTCGAGTCGTCGCATCCAATACACTGGGTGGATTTTATCAATGTTGTTGCATCATCAGCGTCTCCCAAACTGTCATATCCCTTATTTCTAGTGCACATAGCGACAGATTTATCTGAGTTTGTTTTATTCCTAAATGCCTTCATAAGGAGAATTGTCTCAAAACTCACCAATTGAAGTAGCGCGTGTTCCAGGGATGTGCAATTGCACTATGGGCAGGAGGTGCGTTGGGGATGCAATTGATGTAAATAAGCACCACAACGCACATCCCGCAGTAGAGTTTTTCAGACCGAAGCCAAAAATGATGCTTCCCGGTCATCAGTTTAGCGTTGGCCATGAATATTGGCCTGAGAATTATTGCTCTCACTCCGGCACAAGCGTATGTATGTATGTAGGTGCACATGACTCGACTAAGTTTCTGTTAGTATGCACGCGTTCTCGGAGGGTATTTTTAATTTAATTTTTTTACACTTCATTGCTATCACATGGGGGTGGGGGGGCTGAGGCAGGTGAATGTAAACACAGCAGGCAGTGGCTGGGAGCAATAGCCAACCTGCTATTGGCTATTGCAATTTACAATAGTCAATAGCAGTCTGACTATTGCTCCCAGCCACTGGATGGGAGATTTGACGCCGGCAGAAGAGAAGACAATGCAGAGGCACAGTGGTCTCTTGTCCCCGCTGCCTCTGCTGATACAGGCAGGGATTGAAAGGGACACAGATCGATGCAACGGGAACCTGCAAGGAGGACGGGGAGCAGAGTGGCGACGGCTGTGGATTCAACTAAAATCAACTTGAAAAATTTTAGCGTGTCTCACCAGTCAGTCAAAAATGTCACCAGTCGGCATGACCGGACTATAGCCTTGCAATTTATGTTAACATTTTTTGGGGACAGATAAAGCTTTCTTTTGGTGGTATTTAATCACCACTGGGGTTTTTAATTTTTTACTATATAAAGAAAAAAGTACTGTACATTTCGGGGATAAAAAAGTTTTCCCTACGTTATGTTAAACATTTATTCTTACCCATATTTTTGGGAAAATATAAAAGACGGGGTCACATCAGGTAAATAGACGCCAAACATGTCAAGCCTTAAAATTGCACACGCCCGCAAAATGACAGAAAACGACAACTCCCAAAATTGGCCATAGGCAACGATTTAAAGCGTTTTATTGCTCATCAGTTTAGTGTTATCCGTGATTTAACTTAAAATACACTTCTTTTTTTTTTTTTTTTTTACACCTAACTTTATTGCCATCACATGGGGGGGCTAAGAAGCCAATTTACATGACCGGTCCTCTTTATGGAGACAGGGGTCTCCCAGGCACCTAGGGACCCCCAGAGGAGCTGATGAAGCAGAGATCTGCTTCTGTAGCTGGTAATGACAGCAGAATGCGGAAGTGATGTAATATACATAACTTCCTGCATCCGGGGACCTGGAGAAGAGATCAGAGGGAGATCTTGTACCAACCTCCCTTTGATCTCCTGACACAGAGCAGCCGTGCTGGTCCCGGCAGCACCGAGCACAGCGGATCTCTGGACCGGCAATGGCAGTGACAGAGGCTGCGGGGAGCTGAGGGGGAAAACCGCAGCTAATACAAGTGATCAAGAGACGCCCTGTCACTTTAATGTAAAGCTCCCGTCCAGTTGTTTCATTACAACGGCCGGCTGGGAAGCTACTCCGCCTCCGGCGTTCTCTCGTCACAGACGAGAGGACGAGCAGATTTTTCAAGCCCTGATCATCGATTTAATTGATTTAGTTGTTGCAGCATTACCCACTGCAAGCTCCATTCAATTAGCTGCAAGCACAGTTTGGGTATTCTGCAAGAAGCCAGCGGCCACTGTCTGAATAGAAAGCCCACACTGTGTGGCTGGAGGAATCGCCTACAGGTTGAACGAAAAAAATGTGTACCCTGCTTTACTTTTGAGCAGTTTAAAAGTGACAGTAAAGGGTCAAACTGAGGGACAGACTAAGCTTCTTAACATACAATGGTTATAAGTCTTTAACCCTTTGTTGTAAACTAGGTTTGAACAGTTCCAACTAAAAATGAAACACGCCTGCACAGTACAAACGGTTAGAGTACACTTCACTTCCTACAGCCCCCTCCTTAACATTACATAGGGGGACGCTAGGTAGGATTTTTAAGCCAGTAAAAATCACTTAAATGTAAGCAGCAAGTTGTAAACATTATATTAAAGG